TTCTCAAGACCCCGTCTCCAAAATAACAAGAGCAAAATGGACTATAGGTGTGGCTCAGAGCAGTACAGTGGCTGCTTTGCCATTAAATGAATCCTTGAGTTCAAGCTCCATTCCACCCACCAGAAGAGGAGAATTTTGAAAGAAAGTCTTACCCTAATTAACATTGGCATTGATGAATTGCATATCATTTAGGAGCCCTTACTGGAAAACGTATTATGTCTGTTTGACATTCATGCTGCATTCTATGTATACTTCTTTTACGTTTCAAAAGACAGAATAATACTGGGAACATGAGCACTTGAATGGCCAATTACTATGGTGACTTGTATAGTAGAGCTAAGTAACTTTAAATTCATCATAAGATTTATAAATAAAATTTAACTTAAACTAACCTCATTGAAAGGGATATTTTTATCACATTTCTGTAGATTCTGGAGTGAAAAATGTTTTTAGGAATAGTTACTCCATTCTCTGATATCTTCTGTGACCTTTTTCTCTCAGACACTATAAAGTTGCTGCAATAGATCTAGCCTTTACATCAATTCAGATTTGAGTGCATCAGAAAAGTTTCTTTTCAAGTGAAATCCTCATTTTGGTTCATGTGCTTTGATTGGTTATATATTCATCTGAGAACTGTTCACTGTAGCCAGGGAATACAAATCTGATGGCCAAACCTGAAACATAAATGTGAGAATCATTATAGTAATAATAAAAGTAGATGTGGTATACACTGATAAACATTTTCTCAAGTCACTGGAGGAGCTTGATACAGGTTAAACACTAGGTACATTGACTGAAAGTTGGCAATTGGTGAAATAGTAAATCTAATAAATTAGTGGGCTGAGTGTGTTACCCCCTCAGCACCAGGCACAATTGGTTTATCTGACTGTTGGATCTGAACTTAAATATTTCTAATTAGTTCAGCATATCTGGTGAATACCTGTGCTACTTTAGATAATTGGAAAAAGAAAGAGTGGCCCTTGATGTCCAAATTCCTCAAAAACACAGTAAATAATAAATGAAGATTTTCATTTACAAACCTACTTATATGGCATGGCACTTAGGTCATATAATTATTTATTTATTTGTTTATTTGATTATCATATTATTGTTGTACCAGGAGTACATTTTGACATTTGCAAAAATTCTTACAATATATCATTAGTTGAATTCACCCCTCCATCACTCTCCTTTATCCTCCTCTCCCCCCATTCCTGGAATAGTTTCAACAGCTCTCATTTTTCCATTTTGATACATGACTATATAATATTTCCAACATATTCACTTTCCTACCTTTCCTTATATCCTCCCCCAAGACAGGACTTGTTTTACCTTCCTGTTCTCCATTTTAAAAAAATTTTTAAAAAGTCATTTCTGTTTGCTTAAGACAGTTATACAAGGTGTCTCATTGCCACATTTCCATGTATATATGTATTATGTTCCAACTGGTTCATCTCCTTTGTTTTTCTCCTTTCTACTTTAGTCATCTTCTTATGGTTATTTCTACAGGTTTTAAAAATGCTATGTTCATTCTTTTACAAAAGCATAATCAACATTCACCTTCTTAACTTCCTTCTTTTGCCCTCCCTCTCCTGTTAGTGACCTCCTCATAGCCTGACCTGTTTTTCATAATATTGCTTGTGTCAGGCCTATATTCCACATTATAGAATTTAGAATGATCCTTTGAATGACTAAAATTATTCTAAAGGTAATTTATCCTTGAATAAAGTTCACAATAGCATATGATTCTGACGTTAAATTCATGAGGCTGGGAAAATTTTTCCTATTATGAATTCTCTAATGTACTCATGCTAATCTAACTTCATTCCTAAGAGAACAATGGCACATAACTTATTATCTATTTTTAAATAAGGAATGGATACAAAAAGGTTTAAATGTGGAGATTATTTCTAAATAATCTTTATCCTAAACAGTAACCTTACATGGTACAACCATAAGAAACTGATATTTGTAAATAAACGTGGGCAGCAAGACAATGTTTTAAACATGAATAAATATAAAAATGAAGTTAGTTCTTGAAAACAGAATATGCAATGAAACAGAGACTGTGGTAAGAATAGCATTTGGAATATGGGAAAAAAATTGTATGGTATTGAAACAGGTATTTGAATCATGAAAGAAAATTACTTTATTCTTCTTTACAATGAAATTATTTCCAGTGGAAATGTAAAAATTTAAATATCTAGAAGAAGTGGAGGGAATGATTAAATAACTTCAAGTAAGGATGGTATTACTTAGGGCAAAAAAAACCTAGATATTTAAGGAAACTACTAGGATGTTATAATACAAGAAAGAAAATTTTCTTTATGAAAATGGCATTAACAAAATTATATAAATTAAATTGTAAAGAATATTTTGCAGCACATATTACAGAAATGGTAGTATATGAAGAGTAGTGGAACAGAATAGAGGACCAGCTATGAATCCACACGCTATGCACACCTTATTTTTTTTGACAAAATCACCAAAAAATACAATGGAGAAAGACAGCCTCTTCAAAAAATGTTTCTGGGAAAAGTGGTTATCTGCCTGCAGAAAACTGAAACTAGTTTCATGCCTGTCACCTGTACTAGCATCAACTCAAAGTGGATTAAGAACCTTAATATAGACCTGAAGCTCTGTAATTAGTACAGGAAAGAGCAGGGAATACACTGGAAGCAACAAGTAAGGTGAGAACATCTTCCTTAGAATCCAGCAACCCTGCCACTAAGAGAAATAATGGACAAATGGGACTACATGAAATTAAAAATCTTCTGCACAACAAAAGAAATGGTCTCTAAATTGAAGAGACCACACACAGAGTGAACAAAATATTTGGCTAGCTATACATAAGATTGATAACAGAATATACAGGGAGCTCAAAAAACTAACAACCCCAAATTAATGAACCAATAAATGGGCAACTGAACTAAACAGAACTTTTTCAAAGGAAGAAGTCCAAATGGCCAAAACACACATGAAAAAAATGCTCACCATCACTGGCCATAAAGGAAATGCAAATCAAAACCACACTAAGATTCCACTCACCCCTGTTAGAATAGCTAGCATCAGAACACTACCAACAATAAATGTTGGTGAGGATACAGGGGAAAAAGGAACCCTCATACATGCTGGTGGAAATGTAAGCTAGGACAACCACTTTGGAAAACAACACCGAGGCTTCTTTAAAAACTAAACATAAATCCCGCCATATGATCCAGCAATACCACTCCTAGGGATATACCTAAAGGAATGAAACTCAGGTTATTCCAAAGGTACCTGCACACCATTTTATGGCAGCACTATTCAAAACACCAAGCTATAGAAACAGCTAAGATGGCCCACTACTGGTGAACAGATTAGAAATGTGGTATTTATCCAATAGAATTTTATTCAGCCACAAAGAGGAACGAATTTTTGTCATTCGCAAGTAAATGGATGGAACCGGTGAACATCATCTTAAGCAAAGTTAGCCAGGCTCAAAAGGAAAATCATATGTTCTCCTTCACATGTGGACTATAGACCTAAAACAAATGCATAATATTATTGGACATGGTCACACACTAAGGGCAGTGCATGTGGAAGGAATAGAGGAAAGGGAAAGAAACCTAAAACTTGAATGTATTAATGTGCTCACTGTACAGGAGTGAATAAAGTAATCTAAACTGGAGAGGCACTATGAGACAGGACCAGAAAGTAGGGAAGAGGGCTGGTGAGTGAACCAATGTGGTTGCATACACTGTACATGGAAGCAATGCTAGGATTTCTCTGTATAGCTATCGTTATCTCAAGCTAGCAAAAACACTCTGTCTTTTTATTATCTCTTATGTTTTCTCTTCAACAAAATCAGAGAACAGAGTGTGGAACAGGTTCTGCCCAGAAAGGTGGGGAGGCAGGAGGAGGAGGAAGGTGGCCCAAATAATGTATACACATGTAAGTAAATGTAAAAATGATAAAATAACAGAAAGGAAGAAAGATAAAATTTTCTGTATGAAAATAACTTTCAAAATATATAATTTAATTGTAAGAATATTTGAAACACATATTACAGAAAGTGTTACTATATGTTATATAATACTTATAAATATCTAATGTTTTATTATTATATATCAGTGAATAGCTTCAAAATACTAATTACACAGACATCATAAGAAAACATAAAAAAGTGTTCAAAATTAACATCAATGTGACTATTTTTCAATATTCAAAATTACAGTATCAATGTGATTCTATGTTTCAAGTGTTGAGAAAAAAATCTCAAAGTCTTCTTAGTAATATATAAAGCTTATATCCTTTCCTGGTTTTGGAATTAAACTGCAAATCTATTCACATATTTATAAAACTACTATGTAAGTATGTTTATTGTCGAATTGTGTATTGGCTATTAACTAGAAATGAATCAGCTTATAAACTGGTGTATCTACATAAATGGACCACTATAAAAATAATGAAGTGAATTCATAAGCTCATATGGACCACAGTCTACAATATTAAGAGGAAAATCATTAAATTTAGAAAATCATATCTCCTTTCTTACTTTAAAAACTAAATGACCGGTGGAGTATTTCTAAAATCTTCCAAGCAACTGAAAGTTATTACAACTGGTGGTCTCCCTACATTATTCCCTCCATAATGTTGGACTTTTTAAAATTTACTGTATGCATATATTACTTTTCAACTAAGTAGAACTATTTTTAAAACAAATTACTCTGAGGAAAATGAACTAATATCCTTTTATTATACTCTAAAAAACTTTAACCAAGAACCTAGCTTACTCTTAATTCTATCTCTAAACTTCTTTGAAATTCTGAAACTGTATTTAGGAAATGATGCAAGATTTAAGTTACTTATGGCACAGCTACTTGAAGTATATGGATATTTTGAATTTTTTTTTTTTCTGATACAGACAGATCTCTGGCTGAGCTGAAATTCTTGTAATAAGACACAATGGTTCCTCAATTACTGAATGCCAGTTGGTTTCTAAACAAGAAATCTTGTACCTTGTATGCCAGCTTCCACCAACTCTGGCTTCGTTCCCACTTGTTTATCAATAAACCATGGACGTGCTGCAGCACAACCTGCGCTTGGGGCAGCCTGTCCCAGTGAATTGGTGGGACAATAAAAATTGGTATGTGTTCCACCAACATCGCTGCGAGAAAGTCCAGGGACAAAACTGAGAGAGATTTTCCTAAAGAACTATTCTTAATCAAGAAGTCAAAAAAAATAATAAGTAAAGAGGGAGGAGGAAAGAAGCAAGATTGAGAGAGAGAGAGGAGAGAGCAATTCAGAGAAGGTCCTCATGTGAATATAAA